CAACCTAGAAGCGATGGCCTCCAACCTAGAAGCGATGGCCTCCAACCCAAGAGCGATGGCCTCCAACCCAGAAGCGATGGCCTCCAACCTAGAAGCAATGGCCTCCAACCTAGAAGCGGTGGCCTCCAACCCAAGAGCGATGGCCTCCAACCTAAGAGCGATGGCCTCCAACCTAAGAGTGATGACCTCCAAGCTAGAAGCAATGGCCTCCAACCCTAGAAGCAATGGCCTCCGACCTAGAAGCGATGGCCTCCAACCCAAGAGCGATGACCTCCAACCTAATAGCCATGGCCTCCAATCTAATAACGATGGCCTCCAACCTAAGAGCCATGGCCTCCAACCTAAGAGCGATGGCCTCCAACCTAAGAGCGATGGCCTCCAACCTTCACATGCTTCTGCATGCTTGCCAGGTTTGGAGCAAGCATTCGAACCTCATGGGTCATGTTGGCCTATTGCTTTGCATTGCCGCGGGCTCTTTGACTGCCGAATCCAAGATGTTGTGAGGATTGTTCAGACAGGAGGCCTGGGTTGAAGACTTGCACAGATCTCTTTAGAATAGGAACTTGGCGTGGATTTTACCAGACTACGGGCAAATTATTTGATTGACTAGCCAGAATCCACCTTCTCTGAGGTTTCGCATACGAAAAGACCAAAGTGCCTCTGCTGCAGTGTACGTTGGTCTCTTGAGCTCTATGCTGAAAGACTTTGTGAACACCTGTTGAAACAGAACAAAAGGATTTGGAAGACGCACTGTGCGGGCTTCTGTCCAGGCGGCGCCAAAGTAGCAGCCGCAAGAGCCACTTGGCTCGCGTTTCGGATCCGTCCAAGTCCAGTCGACATGTTGTGCCACATTGGCCACTCTAATGCCATGATGGATCAGGTCATAGCCCTAACATGATGAAAGCGAATAATCTAATGGCAATCTGTGTTAGACCTTTCTTCCTTTTTTTGTTTTTCCCCAAACAGTTTACTGTTAAGGGTTCTCAATTCTTTCTTAAGATGTGTCCGCCCTTTGTGTCACTGCTGGTGTCCGCCCTTTTCGGCTGAACATGTAGCATTTCTATTCATTTATCTCCCAGGTCTGTCGCTGCTGGTGCCCCCCCTTTTCTGCTGGCCATGTAGCATTTCTATTCATTTGTCTTGCAGGTCTGTCACTGCTGGTGTCCCCCCTTTTCCGCTGGCCATGTAGCATTTCTATTCCTTTAATCTGCCAGGTCTGTCGCTGCTGGTGTCCGCCCAGTTCCGTTGGCCATGGAGCATGTCTATTCATTTGTCTCCCAGGTCTGTCGCTGCTGGCGTCCGCCCTTTTCCGCTGGCCATGCAGTATGCAGCATTTCTATTCATTTGTCTCCAAGGTCTGTCACTGGTGGTGCCCGCCCTTTTCCGTTGGCCATGTAGCACTTCTATTGGCCATGCAGCATTTCTATTCATTTGTCTCCCAGTGTCCGCCCTTTTCCGCTGGCCATGTATTTTCCGTTGGCCATCCAGGTCTGTCGATGCAACATTTCTATCCATTTGCCTCCCAGGTCTGTCATTTCTTTTCACGTCTCTCTCCCATGTGATTTCTTTACTTTTGTCTCCCAGGTTCGGTGCCTGCACTGCTGGTGTCCGCCCTTTTCCGCTGGCCGTGCGGCATTTCTATTCATTTGCCTCCCAGGTGATGTTTTATTTTTGTCCCTGATTTCTGTGCTTATGTGCCTGCACTGCTGTCTGCCCCTTTCCGCTGGCCATGCAGCGTTTCTATTCGTTTGTCTCCCATGTGATTTCTTTACTTTTCTCCTAACAGGTTGCTGTTAGGGGGTCTGGATGCTTTCTAAGACTGTCCGCCTTGCTGCGGGACAGCGCGTCCGCCTGCCGTTCGGCTTGTCGCTCTTTGTTTCCCTTCTTTTTGGTCATTGCGTCCGCCTTGTCTCCCTTCTGTCTTGCTTGGTCTCCGGTCTTGCCTCCCTTCTTGTTGGTCACTGTGTGCGCGTTGTCTCTTGTCTGCCTTCTTGTTGGTCATTGTGTCCACTTTGTCTCCCTCCTGTCTTCCTTTGTCTCGGGTCTTGTCTCCCTTCTTGTTGGTCACTGTGTCCGGCTTGTCTCCCTTCTGTCTCCTTTTGTTTCCCTTCTTGTCTCCCTAGGATTGCAACACAGCAGTTGAGAGCTGGGAGACAAATGGGAAGGATTGCAAGGCAAGACAAGAAGGGAGACAAAAGGAACAGAAGGGAGACAAGCCGACACAGTGACCAACAAGAAGGGAAGCAAGACCGTGGGACACAATGACCAACAAGAACCCTTTACATGTGTCCGTGCTCTGGACTGCGCTGTCCACCTCTGCCTTCCAATCCTCTACGTGTGTCTCCCAGCTCTGGGCTGCTGTGCATGTGTCTCCCAGCTCTGGACTGCTCTGGACTGCCGTGTCCGCCTCTCGGTTGCATTCCTTGCCTCTCGCTTGCAATCCTTTACATTTGTCTCCCAGCTTGTTGCCGTGTCCGTCTGGGCTGCGCCTTGCAATCCGAAACATGTGCCTCCCAACTCTTCTCCCAGCTCTGGGCTGCTGTGTCCGCCTTTGGCTTGCAATCCTTTACACTTGTCTCCCAGCTCTGGGCTTGTGTGCTGCTGTGTGCAATCCTTTGCATTTGTCTCCCAGCTCTAGACTGCTGTATCCACCTCTGCCTTGCAATCCTTAATTTTACACGTGTCTCCCAGCTCTCGACTGCTATTTCCGCCTCTTCCTTGCATTCCTTTGTTTCCCAGCTCTGGACGTCGCAACTCTAGTTGCAGAGTGTTCCGTTTGAAAAACACAAACTGTTTGGGGTCTACGGTGTAATTTGTTTCTAATAGCGATGGCCTCCAACCTACTAGCCATGGCCTCCAACCTAATAGCCGTGGCCTCCAACCTAATAGCGATGGCCTCCAACCTACTAGCGATGGCCTCCAACGGCCTCCA